AGAAGTAGTTTTACAGTATGTAACACCATTTTCATCACAGGCAGAATGTATGAGTTGTGATTGAAAACTACAGTGAATGTCTAGACTTTAAAATTCTTATGAGAAAAAATAAATAAATAAAATTCTTATGAGAGTAAAAGACTCATTGCTATTGATCCTGAACAACACTAAACATTCTCCCTTACTTCAAGCACATTTATTTCATTGATCCTGACACTTTCTGAAGCAGCTCTGGAAATTCTCTTGTGTGAATGTCTTTAGTTGCACTGTCAAAGGTGCCTCAATTTGCTGAATCCATTCAAATGTTTACCTTTTGTGGTCCTTTTTACTTTGGGGAGGAGCCAGAAGATACATGGTGCCAGATCTGGTGAATAAGATGCATGAAGACACACAACATTTTTATAAGCCTGCCACTCTGTTGGATGGCACTAGGCAGCAGCATTCACTGCATTTTTTATCATACCTTATAAAGACACTCAAGAAAGAGAGCTTTCAGGACTGCTTCAGAAAGTGGCCAAGCCTGGTGGGATAAGTGTGTTGAAAGTAAGAGGGAGTATTTTAAGTGGGACTCATGGCAATGTGTCTTTTACTGTAATAAATTATTTTAAACCTCACATATATAATGTTCAAAAGAGTCAAAGGTCACAGTCACTAGCGTTTATTTGCCTTCTGTGCCACTCAGTTTTCCCTGTGCTTTATTTTTATTACTTCATTTCTCATTCATGTCATAAGACACATGCTGTTATCTTTACCTTATTCTTGAGGAATTTAAGACATGTAGTTAAGGAGTTGGGCCAAGTTTTCAAGACTGATGGAATGTGGATTTGAACCCCTGTGTCTGGATCCAAAACCAGCTCAGAATCTCTAGGTTGCCAGTGATTACACCCCCACCCCTTTGGGAAGAATGAACCACATTGTCAATACACAGTGCTGGTGAGCAAGTGAGAGACACCTATTGTTACTGAGAGTAAGTTTCTACTAGTTGACTTTGGGATTTGGGTACTCTTTGCTCTTCAACTGTTTGTTTGTTTGGTACCGGGGATCGAATTCGGGTTCTTGTGCTTTCGAGGTAGGTGGCAGAACCACTGAGCTAAATCCCTGGCCCGCTGTTCAACTTTTTTATATATACTTTTTTTTCCGACAGTAAACATGTAGTTATTATCAGGAAAAACAATACAACTCTCTTAATTTGGGGATGGGGTTAAGGTTATTTTCTTAGCTACAGTTAAGTTTTGTCTGCAAGTTGGGAGTAGATTAGTAACCTTCCAGCTGTAATAAACAACAGGTAGGTGTACTGATATGAGTCCGAAGATCAGACAAAAGATGAAGTGTAGATAGACTTGTGTATGGTGTGGTTCTAACTGGTTCTGTGTATTTGTTTTTGAATAATTGTGTGCATGTGTATGTGCAAACACATATTAAATGCATAACATTTTGAAGGGTACTTTTAAAACTATTTTCACAATCTGTGGCAGGGGAAGAGGAACAATTTTAAACTTTCCCGCTTTGACATGTTCTTGATGGGGCTGTACATGCATGACAGTCCCAAGCCACCCGATGGGACAGTTGTGCATGTACCTCTGGTGGTTCAGGCTGGTGGGACTGTGTTAACTTCATTACACTGCCTTCATTGTAAAAGTGTGCAGTACAGTATATATGGCGCATCTGTGTACAATGAAATTAACATTACTCTCAGAATGGGAACTCTTGGAAGATAGTTTAACCATTTATGTAGCCTTTAGTATGGCTTCTGATGGTCTTCTAATTTGGTTTTGAATTAAGCTCAGGAATTTTTTTGCTTTGTTATAACCAGGGAAGTATTCTTACATATTTTGATGTTTTCAACATAATTCTGAGCATCCTAGCTTATGCAAGACAGTGCTTTAAATTTCTTTTCTTTTTCATTTTTTCCCCTGGTAGTGCCGGGGATCAAACCCATGGCCTCACACTTAGGCAACCCTAACCCCAATTTAGAAAACATTTTTGACTAGGCATTCCTGTGGCATGTCAGCACGTCATGGTGGGAGTGCATGCATGGTAAAGCAAAACCCTGGGGTTCACCCTAGGGCCAGCAAGTGAAAGAAAAGAGGAAGAGGCCAGGGTCCCATAGTCCCCTTCAAGTGCACACCCCCAAGGACCCCACTATCAAAGTTCTACCACTTCTTACTAGTGCCATAGGCTGATAACCAAGCCACCAACACATAGGCCTTTGATAATTTGAGATCCAAACTATAGCAAAGGGTAATTGTATATTTAAAACTGTATTGGGGTAACATTCCTCAACTGTCACATTAGCAGAAATGCAAAAGTTGGTGCTTTATTGTATTTGTGAAGCTGTGTAGAACTGTTAACTTTCATATGTACTACTGGTAGGTGTTTAAATGGTAAGAATTCTAATGAAGTAAAATCTGCCAATGTCTGCCAGATTAATTTGTCACTTATTATGTTTGAGATGAACAATTTTTCATATGTTTAAGAGTCATTTGTATTTTTCTGTGAAATGTTTGTTCCTTTGCCCCATTTTCTGTTAGGTTGTTGATCTTTATCTTGAATTCTAGGAGCCCTTTATATATTAAAAGGAATAACCTTTTGTGATATGAATCGCAAATATTCTTTATAACTTATGTTTCATATTAAGGCAAGTGACTTTTGTAGTCACTTGGAGTTAGACGGGAGCAAAAAGAAGGGATATGGGGCAGACAAAATGTGGATAACATAAATAATAAGTAAAAAAGAATGACCATTTGCATGTTCCTCTCCTCAAAAAAGGAAATTGTGTTGAAGATGACAGATTATATACCTAGCAGCAGATATGTGGTGGTACTCTTAGTATTCCAGTGTCTAAAGCGTTTAATTTGAGAACTTTGAATCTACCAATGTTTATTTTACTTATAACTATATTAATAGTTAATGGACCAGATACGTGAGATTGATGTTTACTAATAATGCATCTGTGGTGCCTTTTGAAATATCTACTGAAGAGGTGAATTGTGGTTAGCAGTAGGTATTGAATATGTAGAATGAAGTTACCTGCTAACCAGTAGCTTTGTGGAAATTTAGCTTTTGAAGGCACCGTAGAACTGGGGATTGAACTCAGAGCTTTGCTCATACTGGGCAGGCACTGTACCACTGAGCTACATCCCCAGTCAAAGGAAATATTTCTGAAAGTGTATAGCTAACTTTGGAAAAGGCCAAGTAAAAAGTGGGCCTTTTCTCTAAAAGGCCACATAAGAAATAGATTGACTGGTATTTTGGGTTGAGAACATCATCTTTATCAAATTGAATACTATCAGTGCTGGAGAAGATGGAAAAAGTGGGAGGTGATAAGTGAGAACATGACAAAAGAGATGGAAGCCACATACAGGAGAGGGAAGATAAAAGGTTTCAGTGCTAAATGTTTGTCTTCTCTAAGCTTTGTCTTCTCTAGACTGAATGGTCAATTTTTTTTCTAGCAACATGTTATGATCATTTGAAGATGCACTTACTAAGTTCCTTTTGTCCAAAATTATTCTCTGTTCTAATTTCTAAAAAATATCTGTAGTTATTTTTAGTAAGTCTTAATTCAGTGTTTTAAACAAGTATTTTTTCATGAGTATCTTAGCCTGTTTTGTGCCACCATAATACAATACTTGAGACTGGATAACTTATAAAGAATAGAAATTTATTCTCACAATACTGGGGGCTGGTAAATTCAAGATCAGGGTTTTGTATTAGGGCCTGAAGTCTGCTTCCAGGATAGTGCCTTGAACAGTTTGTCCTGTGGAGGAGAGGAGGGGTCCTCACGTGGCTGCAGAACAGGAGAGAGTGTACTCACTCCCACAGCTTCTGTTAAGGTGGGATTAGTCCATTCATGAAGACAGAACACCTCCTATGAGGTCCTGCCTCTCAACACTGTTGCATTGTCAGTTAAGTTTCAGCATGAATTTAAGAGAGGGCAAAAACATTCAAACTGCAGTAGTGAGTAAACCTTCAGTAATATCTAAGTGTATCAGAGAGTACCCATTCATTTATTTTGTACCTGTTTTGCAGTCCCTTTCACCAGATCATAAGTTAAGTAAATAAAAGGCTTAGGCATTCTGTGTTTGGGGATTAATTTGACTTAGCTGAATTTTTTTTTTTTAAGCAGTATTCTTATGGAACAGTAACACCATGGCAGGTTCCTCTTGCTGCCCTGGAGCTTGCTTGGCTCAGTCCACACACTGGGCTCCTCTCCAGGGGAAGCTTGCTTCCTTCCGCAGGGCATCCTCAGGCATTTATCTCCTTACTGTGCTCATTGCACTGAGGACTGAGGTTGATGTGACATGTTTTTTAAAAATATCCCACAACATGACAAGCAGAATTCTATCTACTTTGCAGCTGTGTGAAAAAATTACCTCCTCGTGGTTTCTTTGTCCTTTGTCCTGACCCACAGTGCTTTCAGTGCTCGCTCGCTTGCTTGCTGGCTTGCCTCTGTCGCTCATCCCTTCCCTGAGCTCAGGGGACAGAGGACTACCATATCATTTGTTTCTTTCCAACATTTTAGTAGGAAAAATCTCACACATGTACAAAAGGTGAAATAATTTTCCATTTAACAACATAAACCACCATTTAGATTCTGTAACATTTTACAATGCCTGCAATATCACACCCACCAATCCTTTTTTTTGGTACCGGGGATTGAACTTGGGACCTTGTGCTTGAAAGGCAGGTGTTGGCACCACTGAGCTAAATCCCCAGCCCCCCATTTTATTTTTTAATGTATTTCAAAATTGTGACCCCCCCCCATCTTTTAACTCTGAATCCTTCATCCCCATTAAAAAGAATTTTAGGAACAATTTCTAAAATTCCATTACCTCTGCATGATAGCCGCCTCAGTATGTGTACACCAGCTGAATTATTTTGGTAATGTTCTTCCTTTCCTGTCAGCCGGCATGTTTACGAAATGAACTGTAAGGGTTGTTTGGATTTTTACTGTTTGGTTTACATATGTAACTTCCGTTATTCTTCTCTATTCTCAATAGGCTCGGGTTATGTATGATTTTGCTGCTGAGCCTGGAAATAATGAACTGACGGTTAGTGAAGGAGAAATCATCACAATTACAAATCCGGTAAGAGAACTTTATGTTGAAATTTGTCCCTTATGGACTTAGTTTTAAGAGTTGATGTTTTTGGTAAGTTAGTCATTCAAACCCTCATTAATTTTTTCTTGTTGCTTATGAAGTATGCAGTAACATGCTATTGCATAAACAGTGAGAAAAGTTAATCCCCTAAAGATAGCTGGGTATGTGGTTGAGGTTATTATGTCTACTTTATGATTTTTTTTTCTTTATTATTTAAACCTTCCAGACACCCTGTAATAGTTGTACTGGAACTTAGTTCAGTGAGATTTCTTCTAGTACCTGTAATACGGTATCTGTGGAATACACGGGAGATAGTGCTGACTTTCCCGCATAGCTTAGCCTACTGATTGCTATCATTGTTGCTGTAAGTTTCATCCTTAAATTAGATTACTGGAAAGTAGTATATAGTACTTAGACTGCATTAGCTCAGCTCCCAGTGGAGCCATCTCTGCTGAATTACAAGTCATTGCTTTAGCTTTGATTCAAATAAGAAATAGTTACGTGTATAACAAGCATGTCTACATCTTTACAAAGCCATATTTGAACATATGTGCATATACATGCTTCTCTTCAGATACATACATGTAAACACTCATCTTCACATATGTGTACATATCTCTGTTCACATCACTAAGTGTAACACTGCTCTGTGGTAAGATCCATGTGATCTTTTGTCTCAGGCTCTTTCTCTTGGAGTTTTGGCATGTTTCCTTTTAATAAAATAAAATCTTCACAGACTATTTTTTTTAAATATAACCTTTGTTGCCAGGAAGCTCAGAGGCAAACATAGTACTCATTTTTTCAGTCATTTTATAGTGCTTTCCATTAACTCTGGGTGATAACTGCCTCAATATGTGTAATTGTCCTTTTTATATATAACTTTATTGTAAGCATCTTTAAGGTGTATAGAATTATAAGATGAAATCCATTTGAAATAAAGTTTTAAGAAAAAATTACCTCAATTCCTAGTATTTTGTTCAGGGCTTATATAGCTGAAGAAGGAACAAAAATAGGTGTGGAGAATTAGAATTCGTCTTTGTAGAATTAGTCCCTTGTCCCTGCCTCCGGATTCCACACTATGCATAATGTCTCCTCTGTGTTCTTTCCTTCCCTTCAATCATCCACATACTAAATATGTGTGCAGCCCTGAGCTAGGTGCCTTGAGTTACAAATCTTTGCCCTTGCCCTGGACTCTGTCTGCATGACTATTTGGGGTTTTGTTTTGTTTTTTCTGAACATTTCCAGCACAAGATAGCAATTTTATCTGACACTCAGAATATATCACATTCTGCATTTCTCTCCATTTACCTCTCTAGCTATCCTTTTGCAATTCCCTCTTCTTTCTGCTTTGTGTTTATTTTCCCATGTCATTCCATCTTTGGTCTGTTTTCCTCATGTTACATACATATTCTCAGATTTTTTTTTTTTTGCCCACTGTACCAGCTCAGTCTGTAGTATCTGCAGCTTGACCAGATCTTTCAAGCCTCAGATTTGGCTATTCAGTTGTGTCTTAGACATCTTTAGTTTTCTCACAAGCACTTTAAACTCACCATGTCATGCGTACCAGCACATCACCCATGCTATTCTTAATCCTCTTCCTGAATTCTTTTGTTGTGGTACAGCGTCCATTTAGGCACCCCAGCTAAGCCTTCCACGTGTAAGTCACAGAAAGCCTTTGTCTTAAGGCTTACTTACATCTCACCTCTTCCCTCTGTCTCTGCTGTCAACACAGTACATTGAGCTCTCATCTTACCTGAACTGTGTACCTTCCTGCTAGCCTCTCTCCCACCATGGCTTGTCTAAAATGCCAGCCTCACCATGTTACTCCTCCCCAGTGGCTGGCTCCCAGCCAGCTATAGGTCTGCAAGATACACCACCATCTGGTACCATTCTCCAGCTTTTCCCTGTGCATGCACCCCAAAACATATACTCATGCATGCACAGGCATATACACATGTACACAACCATGTACATACTTGTATACTTGCACTTTCATGCATATACACACTCACGTGAACACACTGTCACATGTGCACATACTCTTATGAAATACATACGCTTACACATACTCATTCACAGCTCACATTCTTAATACATACTCACATGTACTCTCACACATATACAGAACATTATTGTGCATATAGGTTTTCACAAGTACATACACATACACACACACACACACACACACAGTCCTGTTCGTTGTGATTTTGCCCTCCTGCCCATGTTACCATGAACACCTGCCTGGTATTCACTCTTCTAGTTAATCCTCAATGTCTCTGTTGCAAAACAAACAGAATACACTGCTTTCCTGCTTTCTTTATTATTTTAAAAGCTGCTTTTTCCAGAAAGAATGGAATCCTTTGGTGCTAGGCCTGAATGTTGTGTGATGTTGTCGTGTCTGTTTGTTTGATCCCACCACTCTCTTTAAATAGGGAATTCCTTGAGGTTGGAAACCACAGCTTATTTTGTTTTCCTACCCACAGTATGCTAAACTGCTGGTACCATTTAGCCTTAAGTAGGCACATATATTTTTAAAAATTATTTTATAAAATTTCAAATGCATACGAAGAGGGAGAATATATTAATGAACACCTTTGTCCCCATCGTTCATCTTTAATAATTATCAGCCAACCCATGGCCAAGCTCATGTCATCTGTACTCCTAGTTATTCTTCCACCTTCCCTCTCTATAGCACACATGATTATTTTGAAGCAAATTCTATGTATCATTTCATTCATAAAGATTTAAGTCAGGTATGGTGGTATGTGTCTGTAGTCCCAGTTGTTTTGGAAGCTGAGGCAGAAGGATCACTTGAGCCTAGGATTTCAAGGCCAACCTGGGCAGTATAGTGAGACCTTACCAAAAAAAAATTTTTTTTCCAATACGTATCTCTAAAACATAGATTTTACCATTGTATCCACCTAACAAAATTAATAATTCCCTAATATTATCAAACAGTCCATATCAATAGCCCAATAGCCACATAAACTTTGCTGACTTGAAAATTAAGTTTCTTTTAGCTTGAAGACTCACTAGATTTTCACTAGGGTTTTTGAGACAGGGTCTCACTATATAAGTTCAGACTGGCTTTGAATTCACTGTCTTGCTATGTAGCCTAGGCTGACCTCAAACTTGCTGTAATCTTCTTGTCTCAGCCTCCCACTTGCTAAGATTACAGGCATGTGCTGCCAAGCCTGGCAAAAACTCACTAGAATATTAAGGTTAACAGACAGTATTAGATATGCTCAACTTCAATTTTGATAGATTACTGTAGAAGATCACATGTCCTAGTTTTTTATTCGAGGATAAAATGTCCTAGAACATATATTCAGTGTTTTGTTTTGGTTTTTTTCAGTGCTGGGGATCAGACCTGGGGACATTTTACCACTGAGGTACATCCCCAGGATTTTTTTGGTTTTTATTTTAAGAAAGGATCTGGCCATGCAGCTTCAGGCTGGCCTTGAATTTGTAATCCTCCTGCCTCAGCCTTCTAAGTACCTGGGATTATATGCATGTGCTACAGCACCTAGCTGAAGTATTCTTTTATTTCTTAAAACATTGTGGGATTCAAATTTTTCCAAAACTTTTTTTCATTCAATAAGGTTTTATTTTTGCTTTTGCTGTGCAGAAAGCTAGTCCTAAGTACCTTAAGGAATAAACATAAGGACTTACCTGATTTTCCCCCCTTCTCCATAAGGAGCTTGTGATCTAAGAGATCAAGGTGGCATGCAGAAATTGCTGGCAACTCACCAGAAGAAGCCCATTGCTGTGCATATTTTCATCAGGACAGGCTTTGATGCAAAAGATGAAATCTGATGTGGTAGATCTTGAAATGTGGATGGGGTTTCATCAGACTGAAATGCAAAGACGTTTTAGTCAAAGAATGGTCAGAGCTGTTCTCAGCTACTAGGAAGGCTGACATAGAAGGATCAAAAGTTCTAGAGGGTCACTAGAACAACCTAGCACAATCCTGTCTCAAAATAAAATTTAGAAAAGAGAGCTGGGGGATAAGGCTCAGTGTTAGAACACCCCTGGGTTCGGTTGCCAGTACTGAAAAAAAAGAAGAAAAAGGAAAATAGTATGATCAAAAGTATAGAAATTTGAAAGTACCAGTGCTTTCTTACCAGTCTCAGCTATCATTTACTGACAGCACGTGTTTGGCCGAGTTCAGTGTATATTTTCTTTCTTTTTGAGCTACCGGGGATCAAACTCAGGACCTTGTGCAGAAATTTTTTTTTTTTTTTGGTACTGGGGATCGAACTCGGAACCTTGTGCTTGTGAGGCAGGTGGCGGAACCACTGAGCTAAATCCCCGGCCCTTGGACCTTGTGTTTGCAAGGCAGGCGTGGTGCCACTGAACTAAATCCCTGGCCCCTAATGTATATTTTCTTCAACATTCTTTCTTCACAAAGTCCGTGATCATTCTTCTTGTGACTGAGCAAGAGTGAAAGCCACATCTGTCCTTGAAGCCTGAGGCACATTACATGTAAACAAAGGTCCCATGCTACCAGGAAACAGGCTATGAAAATGAGCTCTCAGAACCAGTCAGACAACTCTGTGGGTGAGGCCCCAGACTGTGGACTTGATTTAGTGAGCAGTGGGTTCCTTGAAGGGTCTCATGTGGGTTTCGTCAATATTGCCAGAAAGATGACATGAGGAGCTATTCACAAAAAGGAGATGAGTTTAGGAGGGTGTAGAGAATGAGCTGGAGTCATAGAGCCCTGGGATATGACTGACCTGTGGCCCCCAGGGTTGAAAGAGGCTGGGAGAGTCAGACGCGTAGCATGTGGTTCGTGAGTAGGTGCTGTAGGTGAGGGAAGAAAGAGGCCAGGGTCACCAAGGCACTTGGCCTTGGCACTGAGAGAGTGGTGGCTATATTAAGGGATATAAGGCAGGTGGAAGAACTTCTCTGGAAGGATTACATGAGTATAGTTTCAGGTATGCTGAGCAGAGAGAGTAGTGCCCGGTCAACCCTGGCCTGTAATGCTGCATCAGTTCAAGCCTGGCAGTGAGAGCTGGAGACCAGGCTGGAGCTGGGCAGGCTCCCGTACAGAGCAAGAGTCAGGAGAAGGAAGGAGCCAAGTGCGAGTGTGTCCCGGGTGGGAGGAGAGTGAGGCCTGGGGGGGCACAAAGGTCAGGGAAGGAGAACCCCAAGTGGCAGAGTACATAGTGAGATTATTTGAAAACCTGTTTTATATGCCTTAGATACAAAAAAAGAATTATTGGATAGAACAAGTGCATGTAGTAATTTATACACTAGGTATATATAAGCAAATAGGCTTCATTTTAATTGTAAGGGAGAGTGAAGATTCTTTTGTCTAATTTTTTTTCAGTGCAGTATTTTATTTTCTGTATAAAATAGAATTGTCTTCCAGTTGCTGTTGTGGCCAAAAAGTGGCAAAGTTGTGACTTGATTTTTAAAAACAATGCAGTTTACTATAATGTACTATGGATTTTGAATGTTTTCACCACAAAGAAATCATAAATGTTCGAGGAGCTAGATATACCTGCCCTACTTAAACATTAAACAATTTATGCATATATTGAAATATCACGATGTCACAGGTATGTATAATTTTTGTGTCAGAGAAGAATGTGCTTGTCCAGACTGAAATAATTATTAACTGTGACATTATTGATCAATTTAACAAAATTATTTTCAGAGGAGAAAATGGGACTTTGCAGAGATAGTAAGAAAAATGGGAATCTCATTGTAGAGTTCTACTGTATTATTTAGTCCATTAATATTCTTTATCCAGAAGAACTAAGGACCATGGATCAGTTAGCTGTTTTTGTGTAACAGCCCAAAACTTGGTGGTTTAACACATATCGAGCGGCTTTTACCTCTGGTGGTACAAGTGGATTGTATCACTTTTATTGGCTTTTTTACTAATAAAAGTAATTAATAAAAAGCCATCGAGACATATGAACTGCAGCCTTCTTGTGAATGTGTTAAACCAATACCCATGTGTTACTCCACAGGAATCTATGAGTCATTGGATGGTGCTGCTATCTGCAGCCACGGACCGTAGGGTCTAGGATGGCCTCACCCACCTATCTGGCTGTTCTGTGAATGAGGCAAAAGGGAGACTCATCTTCTAACAACTCAGATTAACTCACATAGCAGCGTGGGGTTCCAAAAGAGTGAACTGAGGTGTGTAGAGCTCCTTGAGATTAGACTCTGAACACCCATGAGTTATTGGCAGATGGGTCACAACAGGCAGTATAGATTCAGGGTTGCAGATGTGCATTCCACCACCTGTCAGGGCTATGACCACATTTGTCATCTACCACATTAATAAATAAAAATCACAAAATGATGGTAATTTAAGGAAAAGCTGTTTTCATTCTTTGATCACTTATTGTTGAAGCTCAATTTGTCTTGTTTTTATTTAAAATTTCAAAGGTTCTTTAGTAATAAAAAGCTCAATATCTATTACTTTTTATTCTAACAATTTATAAATTAAAACTTCCACGTGGAATTTCCACAGGAAATCCCAACTATAATCTTTTTTTTTTTTTCCTGGTAACTTCTTTAGGATGTTGGTGGAGGATGGCTGGAAGGAAGAAACAGCAAAGGAGAACGAGGACTTGTTCCCACCGACTATGTGGAAGTAAGAACTTACTGTCATTGATGAATTAAAACTCATCTTTGACAAGTGTGTTTTATCAGTTATCGAGTTAAAGGACAGCCAGGAAGATAGCAGCATTTTAAAAAATAAAATTTCCATTATATTTGCAGTAAACTCTAATTATATAAAATGCATCGAAGTACAGTAGAACTAAAAAAGAATGTTACCTATAGGCCCAAGCTCCAAGGAATGACTAAAGATATTTAGATTACATTCCTCTCAGGAATAGCAACTTTTGCTTTTTCTGACTAAAAGTCTCTTATTTTTCCTTTGCTGATATCACATAATAGCTGCTGCCTAGAGCACTATTTGTTGTAGAATTAACAAAATTTAGATTTTCTGAAAGAAGATGCCTCTTGCTTCCTTCCCTTGTTCCCTTAGATGGAAGAGTATTTTGAATGGGCTGCTGAGAGAATTACCTGATACCTGTGATAGGTGCCAGGGATGGTATCACCCTGGAGAAGTGTCCCTGGGACACACCCAGTCAGACACATCTTGTTCTCAGTCAGCCACCTGCTGCCCTCTGCTGGTTGTCTGTAGGTCTCTTAAGACAAGTTACTAGATAACTTGATGTCCTTGCCTCTTTTCTTGGGTGACAAACTAAAGTTGCCTAGGGCCCTGTGAATAAAACTGGAGCGAGCTCAAGAATTAAGGTGCTTTGATCCACCTCCAGTAGAGAGAATGAATGCCCCTGGGGAGATATTTTCCTAGGGCCCGACTGCAGAATGGGAAGGAAGGCTCTTTCTGTTGTTCTTGAGAGACAGATGGTGAGTTTCAAACCCTTTGGAAAATCTGATGAGATCTGTAGACTTTACCTTCAGAAATGTGTGCACAAGCACGTACACTAGCCTTGTCCATATGGTTCCAGATGGTTCCCATGCACCTGGGCTCAGTCCATGGGTCTGAGGTTTACATCTGTTTTAGCTTTATGCACTAGGCATATGGAATCCTAAAAATGCACAAGATTGAGAAAAATTTGAAAATTTAGGTTGATATTGGCATTGATTTCATCTTCTAGAATTCTTCTAAAAAGGAATAGTTGTTTCATACATCTTTAAATTTGTCTTTTAAGAACATGACCACCCCTCAGCAGAAATAGATCCAGTAAACAGTCAGTAAGAACACAGTTGAACTTAACAGCAGTGTCAGTCAACTGAATATGATGGACATCTGTGGACTGCTTCATCCAACAACAGCACAATACACATTCGGTAGACCATATTCTGAACTATAAAACATACTTCAACACATTTAAAAAGAAAGGAAAAATACAGCAGTGGGAGAGCACATGACTAGCATGAGCAAGGCCCTGTATTTGACCCCCAGCACTGCAAAATAAGGTTTTTTAAACTAAAAATTAAAATATATACTGCTAAAAATGGGAGTAGCTCTTAGACCACAGTGGACTTAATTCCACAGTGGAAATAAAACCCATAACAGAAAGATAGCTGGAAAATCCCAAAATACTTAGAAATTAACACAGTTTTAAATACTCATGTCAAAGAAGAAATCTCAAGGAATTAAAAAATAGTTTCACAATGTAAATACAACTTATCAAATTATGTAATACAGCAAAAGCAGTCCTTAGAGGAAAATGTGTAACACTGAATAGCGTAAACTCCTTTTCCATAATACATGACAAGGCTTGCTTGCCCTTAAAGGCTTCTACTCTGAAATCACTGACTCTAATCTATGAGAATAATTGAAGTTCTTTCTAATACACAGATTTTACCCAATGATGGAAAAGATCCGTTTTCTTGTGGAAATTCAGTGGCTGACCAAGCTTTCCTTGATTCCCTCTCAGCAAGTATCGCTCAAACCAGTTCATCAGCTGTCAATAGCAACAATCAGGTATGTCTTGCATCATCTTGCTGTTTGTGACTTAAAGCAAAGTGCATTTGTGAAAGCTTGTAGTGCATCATAGCTATTGGCATCCTCTGAAAGCATAAATAATGTAGCACTTAGGTTTTTTGGTGTGCATTTCTGTTGGGTATTAACAAAGAGCTCACCTGTTAAGACTACAAAAGACTGTCTTCAAAGTTGTCTATAAGAGAAAAGACAGGGTGTTGAGAGTTGCTTCTAAGTCTGTCATACTGTGAATACAAACATCAGAAGTTGTAAATACTCTCTGAAGTGAGGGCATGGAAAGAAGAGACAGTCCTGTTGAGGAGGTCATTGTCAATGATGTGGCTGAACCAAGACCTTGGCAAATGGCTCCCATTCTCAGAGCTAGAATCCCCTCATCTTGCTGATAAAAGTGATACAGGTCGAAGTCATGAGCAGACCCAGGTACGTGACACTTGTCATATTATTGTGTTGCTTCTAGAAGACCTAGAATGGTGGAGTAATTTGAGAAAAAATACAGTAAAGCTTTAGTTGTAATTAAAATTTGAGCAATTTGGATAAATCTGTGTTTATTGCCAAAAGCTTATCCAGAGTGAGTGACAAGAAGAAAATTGAGAAGATGGGTATCAAAATTTTCTATAAACATCTTTAGAAATGAATGAGCCTTAGGAGATATTCTTTTTTTTTAACTACATAAAAGTTTTCAAATATGCTAAGCCTAATTATCATATCATTTATAATTATTTGCTTACAGAATATATCTTAAACTTTTAAGAGGCCTGGGCTGTAGCATAGTGATAAAGTACTTAGTATGCATGAGGCCCTGGATTGAATTCCAAGCACCACAAAATGCACATACACACACCCTAAAATAACCTTTCAAGAGAGTTAAAGTACTATATTTTAACTATATACATTTAAAAAGTTTTTCTAGGGAGGGGTGAAAAAAAATAAAAGGTCTTTCTAGGCATCCTGAATCACAAATTAGTCTGACCTAGATCTTTAAAATTCAGAGGCAAAATGATCACCATAGTTATACAGTTTTCTATATTTTGTTACTCTGAAATACTGTACTTGAGAACATTGGTCATTTAAAGGTTACTTACAGTGAAATGTGAAGAAAGTTATACCTTTATTTTCCCTTGGGCACTATTGACATTGGAGGTCTAATACCCCATCACTGTGACCCATTCTGTGTGCTGCTGAATGTTCAGGACCCCCTCCTGGCTTCTTCCCATCAGTTGCTAATAGCACTTTGACTTCTCAGTGTGACAGCCAAGACTGTCTGCAGACATTGTCAAGTGTCCCTGGGAACATAATGAGCCCAATTGAGATTCACAGAGTTACAAAAAAGAAATCCATGAAATGGATTGCCATTAAGTAAAGGACAACATTTCAGTAAAAGAGAAAATAGTGAAATGATTGTAGAAGAAGATAATAATATTAATATAATAATTATTATTATTAATAATAATAATATTAATCTTAACTTTAATTCAAGGAACCTACTCAAGCCACTATCTCAGGATAGACTCAAGGGTGTTAGCCAGTAACCCAAATTCAAAATCAGGTTCAAATCTTGCTCTTTTACAAAGAAAATGTCTTAGTATTTAAGTATAGTAATATTAATTGATTACTAACCTCTGAATTTTCCCCAGCTTATTTAAAAGGTAATTAAACCAATCTTTTTTGTTTTTTTAGAAAAAGTTGGTTTACCAATCTAATTTAGCATTAAATCTAGTCAGATCCTTTGGAAGCCAAAGAAAAAGTAAAAATAAAATTCAGAAATAATGACCATAATTAATTTGAGTTTACTTTGGTGTTTTTTTGTTTTGTTTTGTTTTTTTGAACTCGGGACCTTTTGCTTGCCAGGTAGACGCAGTGCCACTGGGCTACGTCCTCATCCCAATTTTAGTTTACTTTAAATCAAATAGAAATGTTTTTAAACAGCTATCTCTGGTCTCAGTTATCTAGGATATTAGTACAATTTAAATAGGCAAAAATCATGGTTCCTTCTATAAATACCATGACAGATGCCCTAAGAAAGAAACCAGGTGACTGTTGTTAATTGGTAACTTTAAAGATTTCTGCTCTCAGGTTTGCTCATTCTTTCTTTTTTTGAATGTCAATAAGACAATTGTATTGGTTCCAAGTGTGTGTTTCTAGGGATGTTATGCATTAAGCATGGCATGGCTTTCTCTATCGACAGTTTTGTTTTGAAGGCAGGTACATGGGGAAGGCTGGGCCTCCACCCCTCAGGGGCACATCTCCAGCACGGTGGCCTGAACCAACTTCTAGGTCAACATCTGTTCACTGTCTCTGAATCAGTTAATTTAAACTTGCTTCTTCCCACGCAGGCGAGTTGAAGATCACTCCCCCTAATCCCCAGCTCTCTGCTATCCCATGTTCTGATCATCTTGTTTTTCTTTTAAATCGTATCTTTTAAAAGAAGGTCTCCTTCAGTAATTTATTTGGACCCTACTATTCTTTCATTTATCTGAATCCTTGACTTTGTATTTTTAATGATTATTTCAGAGTAGTTCATCAATGTGTAACTTAATGTGTAAAATAGCACTTCCTTGTGTTTTTCTTAAAAGTCCTAGTTTGGAATACCCTCTGAGCAGTCACAAAGGTAAGAGGAGTAAGTGGTGTCAGCAAGGCCACTGCTCTGTGATTGCTTCCTTCCTTTAATAATAAGCGAGTAAAAACAGTCTAGGAGTTTGACCACAGTTTTGACCAGAATTGTAAAAGGAATAGGATGTATTATTCTGTAGATGAATTGAAACAGTCCAATTTGGAAAACTATGAAGCTGTATTTAAGAACTTGGAGAAATTATATGTGCCATTTCTTGTAACATTAGAATATAAAAGGCCTTTCTAAGTCTGATACAATGTCTAGCAGCATGTAGAGAATATCAAAAAGTAGTATTAGGGCCAGGAATTTAGCTCAGTGGTTCTGCAGCCTGCCTCGCAAGCGCAAGGTCCCGAATTTGATCCCCGGTACCAAAAAAAAGGAAATAGTATTAGCCAGACATGGTGGCACATACCTGTAATCCTGGCACTTGGGAGGCTGAGCCAGGAGGATCACTGTGAATTGGGAGGCCATCCTGAACTACATAGCAAGATCTTGTCTCAAAAAAAAGGTAAAATTAAACTAGAAACATTTAAGTCAAAAAGAAATGTTAAACTAGAAAAATGCTTCTAGCATGTAATGGATGTAGGCTAATTCCATTAATATACAAAGAACTGTTAGAAATTTATAAAAAATGAACAGCTCGAGAAAAAAATGGGCAAAGGGTATAAAGAGATTATTATAAAAAAGAAGTAAATACAAATAGTAAACTTGGGGAAGTGGTTATTCTGAGCTGCTTCTATCAAATTAGTGTAGAAGAAAAACATTTTAATACCACCTGGTAGGAGGAAAAGTGTGGCAAGTAGGCATTCTGACAACCATACCGATGAAGGATAAGTAGGTGGCCTTTTTGGCCAGTTGGTTGTGTATATTGATATCTACAGTTCATAGCCCCTTTGACCCGGCAGTTCTGAGTTCATACTGAGATGAGATGCACTCTGAGAATACAGATTCTAGACAAAACATTTACTGCAGCTTTGTTTCTAACAGCAGAAAACAAAGTTAAGTGTCAGCAGGACTCGTCCAGTAATGTACAGCATACCCATACAGTGGCTGCCTTTAAGAGGAATCAGAGGAGATTGAGATGCACAGATTAGGATGCAGAATTTTTTGTTTCAAAGGCACATCAGTGTAGGTAATGTTACGTTTCTTGTAGTCAAGTAAACAAACACACACCCCATAGATGCAAAGTATGTAGAAAATGTATTGAAAGAAACGCAAGAAATGAATGAAATGCTCACTTTTTTCCTACTCTAGTAACCTGTTTTGTATTAGGTGGATGAGGAGAGTCATCATAGTACCTTTGGAAGAGACGAGTGGTTTTCAGTGACTAATACTAGTTTCATTATTAGTTGTCTGGTATTTTATAATTTCAAGAGCATCTCATGTTGTAGCTGTACCACTAGAATAAACTAACCAGCAGATGGTAATAACTCTCAGAAGCTGTTAAAAAATATATTAGTGGCCAGAGATTTAGCTCAGTGGTTTCACCGCCTGCTGTGCAAGCGCAAGGACCCGAGTTCGATCCCCGGTACCAAAAAAAAAAATATGTGTGTGTGTGTGTGTGTGTGTGTGTGTGTGTGTGTGTGTATGT